GGTCCCAGGACCACGGACAAGCCTCAAGCGCTGCCCCCCGCCCGCCAGGTCATGGATCCGGGTCCCAGACCGCCGACAGCCTCAAAGCGCTGCCCCCCCACCCGACAGAGTCACAGATCCGGGTCCTGGGACAGTGGACAGCCTCCCGCGGTGCCCCCTGCCCTGCAGGGTCCCGGATCTGGGTCCCGGACTGCGGACAGCCTCCCGCGCTGCCCCCTGCCCAGCAGGGTCACAGATCCGGGTCCCGGGACCGCGGACAGCCTTGTCCACTGCCGCCCGCCTTCAGTATGCAAATTAGCCGCCATCCTGTTGCTTCAGGGTGGGGATCCCCACTGGGGTGCCTGGCCAGTCTGGGTGAGGGGATGATGGCTGTTTGCAGCTGGTCACACCCCCTTCAGGGAGGGGGTCCCCACTGGGGTGCCTGGCCAGTCTGGGTGAGGGGATGAGGGCCGTTTTCAGGCTGGCGGGCGACTGAAGCTCCCAACCTCTCCTTTTTTTCTTTTTTCTTTTATTCTGGGATTTATTTACCTTCTATGGCTGTCACTGGAGCTGAGAGCTGGCTTTAATTCTGAGGCTCGGCTGCAGCTCTGAGACCTCGGCTGCAGCTCTGAGACCTCAGCTGCTGAAAGCAGGTACTGGGTTTGTTAGGGTTCTATAATTGAAACACTGTTGCGGTCCTGCTGGCTGAAGCCCTGCTGGCTGAAAGCAGGTTTCTGGAGTTTGTTTAGCTTCTATTCTTGCAACATTGTTTCTTAGAGTGCAAGCTCAGAGGCCGGCAGCGGCAGGCGGGGAACCTTGGCTTCCTCCATCACTGGAGCAAGCAAGCCTCCTGTTCGCTTCAGTGCCTGGCTGCCGGCCACCATCTTGGTTGGCAGTTAATTTGCATAAGGATATGCTAATTAGCCAATGGGAAGGGTGTCGGGGTTATGGTCAATTTGCATGTTTCTCTTTTATTAGATAGGATGTGTATTTCAGTATGTAAATATTCAAGTGCACCACACTAGATGGCACCAGAGGTAGTCAAATGGTTACCACCTACACATAGAATCATTGTGAATGTGACAGCTGTGAAAGCATAATTGATACAGTGTCATTTATAGTGGTGATTCACATACCCAAGTGGCATTGAGATTGGTGACATGATTTTCCAAAATGGTGAACAACTCTTAGTAAAGTTCTTAACAAACAAATCGATTTATAGTATGGTTGCATTTTGGAAAATTTGGGATACATTAATAACTGTGGAAAATACATTTTTTTAACATACTGAATTCTAGCCTTAGATAAATATATTCAGTAGAATGTTTGAAATTCATCCAGGACCTGTGGCAATTCTTCTCCATAGTGGATTGTTCCCTGTATTGCTGCTCCTCTAGTATCCCTGGCACTTGACCATTAAATACTAGTAGAGCTTTCACCCCATTCCTCTGACCTTCAATCCCCCAAATGCCTCCATATATAGAGTGTCCTCTAGGGGTCATTGTTGCTACCATTGAGAACCACTGATTTAAAAGTTTTTAGCTATATTAATCTGCTACACAGTTGTATTGCTAATGGAACCATAGTAACTTAAGTATCTTAGGTCCTTAAGTATGATGTTTTGAATAATTAAGATAATTGAAGAATTATGGGAGAAGTTGATTTGTTCAAATGCATCATTGTTTTGCAATTCTTGTATGAAGATCAATAAGTTTGCTATTTTAAGTTCTCAATATCCTGCATTTTCGTTATTTTTTCCCCATTCTTCCTGTTTAGTAAGTCAGTAGTATATAATTTTCCTTAATGTTAGCATTTCCTTATTTAACAGCCACACAATATAATTTGTCCCTTAAAAATCCACTTTTTAAATTAGGAAGATAATATAGTAACATTGAAGAAGCTTTGTGAACTGGAGGCAAATTTCCATTAATCACACAACTTTAAAAAAATAATTTTCAGCAGTTTGTTCTCTTTGTGCATATTTTGCCATTCAGAAATTCATTTTGTATTTTATCTTTTCACTTAACATGACATAACTTTTTAATGTTATTTTATAACTTCAAAACTATTATTTTAAATTACTGCATATTATTCTACTAGATTTCACAATTTAACCATTTTCCAATCTTTAGATTGTTCACATTATAAAAATGATTATATGTATGTAGGTACATATATGTACATATTTATTTATATAATCTTTATTGATAGATCTGTTTCAATATATTTTTATTTATTATTCTGAGTAGATCTCAAAAGTGGGGTCATTTATTGGTTCAGTAGTCTGGGACATTTTTGTAACTTTGGAGATTTTAAATTCATCTATGTTTTGTTTAGATGTCCCTGGTAGATTTGGGAAAGAAGCTTTTAGAAGCGGCACGAGCAGGTCAAGATGATGAAGTTCGTATTTTGATGGCAAATGGAGCTCCTTTTACTACAGACTGGGTAAAGAATGATTCTAATGTGGTATTTTTCTTCTCATTTTTGAGTTTTTTTCAGATAAAAATTAGTATTGTGTTTATAAGTGGTAAAAATTTTGCAAATTTGTTTGCAACTTTAGAATTATAGCTGTCTTTTAAAGGGAATGGTTTGTATCATTTTTTTGATATTTGAAAACCCTACCAAGTATCCTGTTCACAAAAGGGGTTTTCTTTTAGACTATGGAGTTTAATAAGATAGGATGAATATAAAATGTAACTGGTTATGATTTAATTTAAAGGTCTTATAAATAGCACAGGTACAATTTCTAATTCAGAAAATAACAGGTAAAGATTGGGGTTAATGTTATAATGGTTTCTAAAAAGGAAAAAAATGTTTGCATTTTAATTGATACTTGTAAAACTATTGCAAACATGACCAAAGAGGAAGAGTGGAATGGGAAGTTCTTAGTAACTGTAGAAGGCAATTGTGAGGAAGACAAAAACCATAATTCTATTTAATTCTGGGGTGCAACCAAAAGGGTTGCTTTTGGGAGTTCGGGGGGGTTAGGAATCTAGATTAACCCTTCCACTGGTAACAACGAAAAATTCCAGATTTTTAATTTGGTTGTTTTTGGCTTGTCCTGTGTTCTTTTTTATTTTTCATTAAAAACAAAACAAAACAAATTTTAACATGGAAAATTTCAAACATATATCAATCCCTTCATAGCCTTTACTCAACCTCAAAAATTATCAAATCATGATGAATTTTGTTTCCTCTATAACCCCATCTACTTTTTTTTTGTTATGTATTATTTTAAAGAAAATTCCAGGAACCATCTCACCCATACATATTTTAACATCTGTCTTTAAAGATAAAGATATTTTGATTAAGCATTTCAAAAAATCTTAAGTGCACTCATGAGTTAGAGAGAAAATAGAGATTATCAACCTGAAGAACTAAGTGAAAGGCAGGACCCAGAGAAATTTTACCCAAGAACATTTGCTGAACTAAGTAAATTTGCCTGTTGGTTTTCCCACCTCACTGGCATGGATTACTGAAGGCAAAGACCTGAGACTGTTCACAGAGAGAAGTCTCCTAGGAAAGTCTCTCCCCAAAACTCTGGAACCCCCAAGAGATGCACCTTCAATACAAGGATAAGTCAGAAGTACTCTTTCCTCCTCCTACCTGCTTCTGCCCCTGGCCCTGTTATTAGGGTACTGCAAAGTAAAGGAACTGACTTGAACTAAGACATCAAATAGAGAGAGGAAAAGATTTGGAGTCACAAGCCATTACTTGCACACATTTATGTCCTGTACATTCTATAAAACCATAAACTGAAAAATGAATGTAAAGTGATCTTTGGACTAGATCCTAGGTTCCTGGGAGAAACAAATGAATATCTTTTCTGGGGGAACCTATCTTCATTCTAGGCTTTATATCCACAAATGAAATTCCAAGAAAAATGAACAGTCAAAAATAACAGACAAAAAACAAAACTCATCTCCTCAGCATGCAGGGGAGCCCTGGAGGACACAATCGCCCAGGCACCCTCATAGCAGCTGACAGAGCCAAACAGATGTTCGGACCTCAAGTGCTTACAACCCGGCATTATGTGGGCTCTGCAGCTTTCACAGGGACCCCAGAGCACGGGCAATTCCAAGGCAGCCCAGGTGGTGCCTATGGGACTGCTCAGCCCCCAACTCACTATGGACCCGCTCAACCGGCCTATAGCCCTAGTCAGCAGCTCAGAGCACCTTCAGCCTTTCCTGCAGTGCAGTACTTGTCTCAGCCACAGCCACAGCCCTATGCTGTGCACAGCCACTTCCAGCCCACCCAGACAGGGTTCCTCCAGCCTGGTGGTGCCCTATCCCTACAAAAGCAAATGGAACATGCTAACCAGCAAACTGGCTTCTCTGACTCATCCTCCCTGCGCCCCATGCACCCCCAAGCTCTGCATCCAGCCCCTGGACTCCTCGTCTCCCCCCAGCTCCCTGTGCAGATGCAACCAGCAGGGAAATCCAGCTTTGCTGCTACTAGCCAACCTGGCCCCCGGCTCCCATTCCTCCAACACAGCCAGAACTCAAGATTCTATCACAAGTGACCATCAAATTTCATCTTCAACCTCACCCCACCCCCTACCTTGGGTGAGAGTCCCTGGTATGTCCTAGGCCAATAAAATCTATCTGCCATTGAAAAAACAAACAAAACAAAACAAAAAAATAACAGACAAGGAAACAAGATGTTTGGAACAATAACCTACTGAAACAACTGACAACAGAAGACTTATAAGAACTTCAGATAATTTTTTAGTATAAGCAGATTGAGAATAGCTGAAAGAAAATTAGTAAACGGAAATATATGAAAAAAATCATCCAGAATGCAATGCAGAAATTGATATAAAATATAAAAAGCTGTCAGGAATCATGAAGGCTAGTGTGAGAAAGTCTAAGATATATGTAGTCATAAACCCACTAGGAGAGTGAGAATAGGGATGAAGTAATTTTAAAACATGATATCTGAGATTTTTTCCAGGACTGATGAAAGATGGCAGCTCACAGATTGAAGTGGCTCATCAAATCTCCAGCAGGATCAATAAAAAAATCCACATGTAGACACATCATAGTGATACCACAGTACATCAAGACAAAAGGATCTTAAGAAGGATTGGTGTCCATAAAACATGGGATTCCCAGGGCAGTAGTAAAAAGACAAGACAAAGAAGTATGGGCAGATGATTTGATATGCTACTTTACTCAAGAGAAAGTTTGAATGACCAATAAACATGCTTAGCTACATTACAAATTGGGTAAATGCAAAGTAAAATCATGAAATATCATTGTATATCCACCAGCTTAGCCAGAAAAAAAAAGTCTAGCAGTACCAAGCAGTGGTGAGATGTGTGGAGCAGTTTGGCAGTACCTAGTAAATTCAAACATGTGCATACTTGTGATGTTGAACTTCTGAAAACATTCCCAAGAGAAACTCTTGTTTATGAACTTGAGACATGTATAAGGCTATTTTTAGCAGCAGCATACTTCTTAGTAACAAAACTGGAAACCCAAATGTTCATCAGTAGATTAGTTAGATTAATTATGGCTTATCCATTCAGTAGACTATTACAGAGCAGAGAAAATTAGCGAACTACACTTAAATTCACCAGCATGGGTGAATCTTATAAACATACTGGTAAGCAATAGAAGGTAAGTCACTGAGCATTACATGATTCTATTTAAACAAAGTTCAAAATAGGCAAAACCAAAGTATATTATTTAGAGATAGATAAGTGATTTAAAAACAAAAACAAAATAAAGCGATGTGATGGTGATCTGGCAGCGACATCTGTCACCCTATTGATGGCCAGGGGTTGATTCAGCTGATCTAGCTGGCAAGGCAGGTATCCCCCTCCTCCCTCACCGATCCATGTGCCTCCCTCCTGAAGCTGCATGCTAGGTGTAGGTCGAAGAGGACGACCTTCCCTCCAGAGGAGAGAACCGGTATTGGGTTAAGGGTATACGAGTAGTTGCGCTCCCCTGCTAGAATCTCCAAACAAGCTTTCACTCACATTTTAGTACTGCCGTGTATATTGTGAATGTGGTGTTAATGTAGTGGCTTGCCTAGACCACATGAAATTAATATAATGGGCTCTGTTCTGGTTCTGTCCTGACTTACCTTTGACAGCACATCTCAGATCATATTTTTTTTTTTAGAGAGAGGAAGGGAGAGGGAGAGGGATAGCGAGTTAGAAACATCGATGAGAAAGAAACATCGATTCAGCTGCCTCCTGCACGCCCCCCCACTGGGGATGTGCCCACAACCCAGGTACATGCCCTTGACCGGAATCGAACCCGGGACCCTTGAGTCCGCAGGCCGACGCTCTATCTGCTGAGCCAAACCAGCTAGGGCCATATTTTTTTTTCCTTAGAAAATGACTATATGAACTCCTTTAAAAATATCACTGAGGTGCTTTAATTAATTTATTTTTTTAAGTCCTATAAAACAGTTTAATATAAAAACAAACACTATTACATTTATTTGACAGGAATTTTATAGATGAAAGGAATTTTTGTATGGTTGATATGAGGAAAAGATTCCAATATTCTGAAAAATTTCTCAAACCCTAATTATCTCTAATTCCTGATGAAATTAATTTTTGTTTAGGTTATTTTATCTGAAATATTGACGTTTCCTTTTCACTGAGGAAATTCCTGAAGGCCTCTATGAAGAAAATGTCACGAGCATAAATTCTTTCTTTTGAATTATGTAAACAGATAGTATACTTTTGCTATGTAAACAAAATATAAAATAGACGGTAGTAAAGAAGTGTACTAAAATGACTATAAATGTGGATATTTTTCCTTGTGGTATAGCTGGGAACTTCTCCACTTCACCTGGCAGCACAGTACGGGCATTATTCCACCACAGAAGTACTACTTCGAGCTGGTGTAAGTAGGGATGCCAGAACCAAAGTGGACCGAACGCCCTTACATATGGCAGCTTCTGAGGGCCATGCCAGCATAGTAGAGGTTTTGCTTCAGGTATGTGTTCTTTCTCTTTGTACTTTACTTTAAAAAGTAAACCCTTAAAGGACTTAGAGTTTTACAAGAGGAAGAAGAAAACTAGTTTTATTGAATATCTATCCCTCCTCCCATGTTATCTCATTTTGTGTGTGTAAGATCAAATGTAAATTATCTTAAAGTTTTCCTTTGTGAGGGGATAAAACACTTTTTCTAGGTATGTTCTTAGTTAAGTCCAACAATTGATTTCTCACACCTTGATCTCTGCCATGGTGAGGGACTATAGTTTTGTCTTAATACAGTTAAAATGCTCATGGAAAAGGAATATTAGGCTTGGATAATTAACAAATAAACAGATAATGCAAATGGGGATTTTTCTTTAATCATTTAAATGCCAAAAAGAAAATTCTGAAATAGAATGATAGATTTAGGTATTCTTAATCCTTTTTATTCTGGCCTCTAGACCAGCAATTTTCAACTGATGTGCTACAAGAATTTTTAAAATATGCAATACCTATTTAGTCAGGAGCTCTGACTTCCTTTCCCTTAGATTTCAAATAAAAAAATGACCAATGTTATTGGTCATGTCTTAAAATAAGGTTGCTCCTGATTGGTTAAATCTTGGTACCTGAAATCCTTATATGTAAGTACTAGAGGCCCAGTGCATGGATTTGTGCACCAGTGGGGTCCCTCAGCCTCGCCTGCACCCTCTCGCAATCTGGGACCCCCTGGGGGATGTAATAGTGTGCAAAGCAGCAGGCGGCCAGGGAGGAGCCTGAGCCCAGGCCAGGCGCCACGCTGCCCCCACTCAATCCAGCCCCACTGTGTCTGCTGCCGCTGCTGCTCCGTAGCGCTGCTGCTCCGCAGTGCTGCTGTGGAGGCTGCCGTGGAGGCTGCCACAGCTGCGCTTGCCAGCCGTGAGCCTGGCGTCTGGCGCCCTTTGGTTGCTTAGGCTTTTATATATAGAGAGATAGGCACCTAATTTTTAAAAAAGTCACTTTGGAGCAAAAAGGGTAGGTAATTACTATTATTTATTAATTTTTTTTGTAAATCAATCAAAATTATACCTATTTTATGTCAGATCAGCAAAAGATACATTTTTTGGTGTGTTGTGTAACTTTAGTATTTTATGTGTGCTGTGAAATGAATAAGGTTGAAAATCTCTGCTCTAGATCAGCTTGTCCGAAAGAAATACAATGTAAGCTACAAATGCAAATCGTATGTAATTCTAGATTTTCTATATTATAAAAATAAAAAGCAATTTAAATATTATATTTTATTTTACTTAATATATACAAAATATTATTTCTACATGAAATCAATATAAATATTATTATATTGCTTATTTTACATCCTTATTTTGCTACTAAGTCTTTGAATCCAGTGTGTATTTACACATATAGAACTTCTCTATTCGGACTAGCTGTATTTCAAGTGCTTAGCCACATGTGTCTCGTGGCTACCATAATGAACAGTGTACCTCTAGGTGGTTCCCTTTAAATTGTTTATATTGCATTGGCTTTGACAGCAAAGGATATTTTTGTGTAAATAAGGAACTAGAGTTAAAAATAGGGTTTGGGAGGAATGCTCATAGTTTTCCTTCACTTCTTATTCTGTTCTAGCCCTTCATGCTCACAGCTGGGTGACTGAAAAAATCAGTGCTGTTCTCCTAAGAAATTAGAAGGAAAGCAATTAGGAAAGTCATCATGATAAAAAATCGATTAAGTGACAGATGTGTGGTGATCCTGGAGCATATAGATTATTCAACACACAAAAAATGGTTGATCATGTTAGTAGCAAATTCTTCTAAAGTATAATGTCTAGAATTTTCATTTCAGCAATTTTTAATATTGCATATTTTAGAAATCTCTTGTTTTGAAATATTTTTGTAGCATGGTGCTGATGTCAATGCAAAGGACATGTTAAAGATGACAGCTCTACATTGGGCCACAGAACACAACCATCAAGATGTGGTGGAGCTTTTAATCAAATATGGTGCTGATGTACACACGCAGAGTAAATTTTGTAAAACTGCATTTGATATTTCAGTAGACAATGGGAATGAAGATTTAGCAGAGATATTACAGGTAACTTTTTCTTTTAATTTAAGAAAATAAACAAAGATCTCTGTTTTATGGATGATTTGAACTATTCAGTTTGTAGCTTTTCATTTTGGACTTAGTTATTTTGGACAGGCCTTCTCCTCGTTTGCTTTTTGTTCATTACTCTTCATTTTCCTGATTGTAAGACTAGTTTTTGCATGTAACATTAGAAGATTAGATAAGGTGTTACTTTCTGTGTTAAATTCCTGAATTCTTCTAGACATTTTATTCTATTTTTTTTTTGTTGCATACCATATGGCTTTGGCTACCATATGGTATTTCAAAGTCTGTTATATTTCACTAAAAAAAAATTTGTTTGCAGCCATAATAATGTCCCCTGAGTGAGTGATACAGTCTTTATCATTATGAGTGGTTTCTTTTATTTCTCACCATCCTCAGGAAAATCTGTTTGTGAGCATGGTTATTTATGGCTTTTGGTCAAGTTTTTCTAATAACCAACATTTCTATTCTTCAGCTAGACAACATTGATGTAAATTATCTTCTTTACTTACGGCCTCTTCTTGCATGTCTTTTTGTTATCCTTCCCAATAAAACTCTTCTCTAAGACCATCTGACTCTATTGAACTTCAGCTAGTTACTTAAAGGATATGTTCAGACAAATGAACTTTGCCAGGCCTCTTCCAACTCTTTTACTCCTAGGAGTGCGGTTTGGGGGTTAGGTTGAAGATGTAGAACAATTGGAAAGGACATGCTTTATATATGTAGTGTTATAGATTGCTGAATATAGTGGAGGAAATAATTTGATTTAAATAATTTAATTTCTGAAGTCACAGGGTAGCAGCATATCTTTCAGCTGTGTTCTATAAAAGCCTTTCAGATATCCATTTCTCCTCTCATTGGATTTTGCTGCTTTAGCTAATGGGAACTTAGGATATAAATGAATACTTTTGGTTTACCACTATATTCTTAGTAGACCATAAAAAAGAAACCCATTTATATTATATGATTCTTCTTAAATTACAGAATGTTCCTTTATATTTGTATTTGTAGTACGTTGAGAGCCTGTGCTATATGTTCTGGTTATAATTCTGAAAATATTGTGGTGATTTGTCCCCCAGATTGCTATGCAGAATCAAATCAACACAAACCCAGAGAGTCCCGACACTGTGACGATACATGCTGCAACACCACAGTTTATCATTGGACCTGGAGGGGTGGTGAACCTAACAGGTCTGGTATCTTCAGAAAATTCATCTAAGGCAACAGGTATTCAGATGCATATAGGATAGCTATTGGGATTTTAAGCCTTAGTAGGTATCCATCCTTTTAAGAAAGGACAGTTGGAGAATGAGGGTAAGAAAAACCTTGGTTTTCTTTGGTATAATTAAAAAAACACCCACATTTTTATGAGAAAATAATTTAAAGAAAGGTGATATTGCAAAACATACTGCAGTATTATCTTTCAAAAACTAATGCTATCCAAGCTTGTTTTTCACAAAAGTAATATCCAGGTTTCATTTAAGAGTCGAATAAAGTAAAACAGAATATCAGATTAAAGCTCCTTAAAAATTCAAATCTATTTTCTCTTTTTTCACAGATGAAACAGGTGTGTCTGCTGTTCAGTTTGGAAACTCCTCTACATCAGTATTAGCTACATTAGCTGCCTTAGCTGAAGCTTCTGCTCCCTTGTCCAATTCTTCAGAAACTCCAGGTTAGCAAAACAAGTCACATGTGTACATTAAAAGTTGGAGATTCAAATAGTCACAAAGGCCAGAAATCTATATTAATAAAGAGCTAATATGCTAACGAGTGGGACACTGTAATGGGTAACGACCAGGTCATTAGCATATTAGCTGGGGCATTGCTCTGGAGATGGGCGGAAGCGGGGAGGCACCTGGAGGCGGTGGGACCATCCCGTGCCTGGGAGGGCAGGGGTGAGAGCCCATAGCACCCCCCTCATCAGTCCTTCACCACCCACTGCTCGCACTCTGAGTCCCCGAGGCTCACCTGCCAGGGGAAGGAGCACAGCACAGCAGGCGGGAGGCTTCCATGCTCTCCTCTGGCGCCATGACGGGGCGGAGCCACCACGTTGCTCCAGAGACAGGGCGGAAGTGGGGAGGCGCCCAGAGAAGGACGGACCAGCCCGAGGTGACTGGAGGGACTGAGGCTGGAACTTGAAATGGCCAGAGGCGGCCAGAGGGTTTGGGGACTGGGCCAGGTGCCCTGGAGCTCTGCGTGGACAGGTTGGGGTGTCAAGGCAGGGCTGCAGGTGGGTGGGCGGTGCTCCTAGTGTCATATAAAAGGCTAAATTAGGCAGGGTTGAGATTATGGCCTTCTGAAGAGAGTGGGGCAGGGCAGGGAGGCCTCAGCTTCTCAGCTACAGCTATTTCTAGTTATATGCTCAGTGTTTCCAGATCCTACTCTTTCATGGGGAGCTGAAAATCTGGATTTTAAAAGAATGTTAAATATTGCCAATTAATTAAATTTTAAAAACGTGTGGTTCACAGAAAACATTTCTGTCTACCCAATTTGGCCTTTGTTTTACTAGTCTGTGACTTTGTATAAATAAAGTATATATGTATACATATATATTTTTGTTAGTTCTATTAAAATGACTGACCGCCCTAGCTGGTTTGGCTTAGTGGATAGAGCGTCAACCTGCGGACTGAAGGGTCTTGGGTTTGATTCCCGTCAAGGACATATGACCAAGTTGCGGGCTGATCCCCAGTAGGGGGCGTGCAGGAGGCAGCCGAGCAATGATTCTCTGTCATCACTGTTTCTATCTCTCTCTCTCCCTCTCCCTTCCTCTTTGAAATCAATAAAAATATATTAAAAAAAATAAATAGTCCTGGCTGGTTTGGCTCAGTAAATAGAGCGTCGACCTGTGGACTGAAGAAAGGTCCTGGGTTTGATTCCGGTCAAGGGCACACATGCCCGGGTTATGGGCTTGATCTTCAGTTGGGGGCATGCAGGAGGCAGCCAATCAATGATTCTCTCTCATCATTGATGTTTCTATCTCTCTCTCCCTCTCCCTCTCCCTCTCCCTTCTTCTCTGAAATCAATAAAAATATATTTAAAAATAAATAAATAAAATGACTGACAGAATTAGGAAATAGCATACTGACACCACTTAAGGGATGATAATCAGCATTAATAGCTGGTTTAGGTAAAGTTTACCTTTATACTTAACTAAAATAGTTCTTGCTATAATTATTATGTAAGCAAAATATTTTTTTTAACTAGGGAATTAAAAGAACTCCACAAAATTCTTCTTACTGTAGTTTCAACATTTGGACTAATATTTATAAAATTAAAAATAATTTTAATGATACTGCTGGGGATTGAGCCCGCAACCCGGGCATGTGCCCTTGACCAGGATCGAACCCAGGACCCTTCAGTCCTCAGGCTGATGTTCTATCCACTGAGCCAAACCAGCTAGGGTAATTATTTATTTATCATCTCATTTAATCTTCACTAAAAAGCTTGAAGGTAGATATTACTGGATTTGATTCTTTAAAGTGCTATCGTTTGAAAGATGTGTTTTTTTCAGGGGGAAGAAAACCTACTTACCTCTCTCATTTCTGTCTTTCACTCTCTTTTTCTGCAAACTAGTGATAATAAACATTTATCCATTTAATGCTTGAGTCTAGGCCTTTTATATTTGAGAGTCTTTAGATATTTCTGAATCACATTTGGCTGTTAGCAATTATGTGCATCATCATATTGATATGCTCTTTTTATAACCTATGTCCAGATCTCTGCCACCTTGGTAATTACATAAGCATATAAAAGAAAATTAATTTCATTGGTGGTTTCTCTTTGGTTAAACTTGCATATTTTTGTCTTTATTTAAAGTATATATCTGAAAATTAAATAACTTTTTTCTTTTTTTTATTATTTTTTAAATATATTTTTATTGATAGTATTACAGATATCTCCCAATTTCCTCCCCTTTATCCTTCTCTTCCTAGCCCCTACACACCCCCTTAGGTCTAAATAATTTTTCTTAAAAGTCAGCTGGAAGTTTTGACATTTAGATCTTGGCTCCATGAATTGGTCATACCAACTTCTCTAACTTCTACCTTTGAAAATGTTATGTGTGGTCTAGACTGAGAGAATTAGTAATTTCACTGGACTTCTATTACATGTGACTTACAAACTTCTGTGAGCACAATAATTTTTCATTTCAATGCAGTATCATAGCAGAATCTTTTTAAAGATATTTTAAGAACTTGAGTTAAGTTCAGGTGAGTACATTGCCACCAGTGTAAATAAACTACTCAGCTAAGGTGCATAATGAAATACATTTGTATGTATTCAGGCAAATTATTTCTCTGCTTCTTGCCTCTCCAGTTTCTTTTAACATCACTTGTCAGATTCATCCTCATTTTAGAAATGTTTATATATATATTTCCAAGGACATCCTAAGATCTAGGAAATAAAGTAGTACTTCCATTTTACATATGATGAAGCTGAGGTTTGTGAAGGTTACATAATTTTGCCCAAAGTATCATGGCAATAAAGTGGTGAAAAGAGGTTTGTGCTGAAGATCTGATTCCCAAGTTGTTTGTCTGTGACCACTGTAATATACTGTCTCCTCTATGCAGTTTCTTCTGGTGATCAGAGGACTGGTCTTTTTAGAGTGTTTATAGATTGGTTTGTCATAGAAATAGATATTTATGTGATTATCATTTTGTCTTACATCTAACAAAAGTACCACTGTTCTACTTTTACTTCTGAAATGTGTTTGTTGAAGCAGTCTGTTGAAATAAATGTTCTGCTCCTCTTTTGTCCTTTTTAAATGACTGAAGACCATAATATAAGAACCACTAGTACATTAATTGGTACTGCTCATATTCTTTTCTTTTACCAGCTAAGTAGTACAATAAACACATCTTCTTAATACCAAATAGCTAGAATGTAGCAGCAGAGGGACTGCATTTGAAATGGAGGCTGGCTGGCTGGCTGACATGGTCCTATATATACAGGGGAGGTACTTGTGATAGTCTACGTCAGTGATGGCGAACCTTTTGAGCTCGGCGTGTCAGCATTTTGAAAAACCCTAACTTAATTCTGGTGCCGTGTCACATATAGAAATTTTTTGATATTTGCAACCATAGTAAAACAAAGACTTATATTTTTGATATTTATTTTATATATTTAAATGCCATTTAACAAAGAAAAATCAACCAAAAAAATGAGTTCATGTGTCACCTCTGACACGCGTGTCATAGGTTTGCCATCACTGGTCTAGGTCTAGGATACACTCACTTTACCTGGGAACTGTGGCTTTAAATAGCACCTTCATGATTACGTTAGGGCTATCTTTCACATATAAGACAAATCTTAATGTTAGTCCAATGGGATAAAGGATAGAATGCTTTCATTGTGAAAACAAATTATATCACTGTCTTTTCTTGATGATATAATACAAGTGCAGATTGTTAATACGTGATGATTAGAATATCTAGTGGTTTTTTTAATGTAATATTTTTCAGTTTTATTCTTTTCTCATAAACCTTTATTTTTAAAAGTATTTGACTTATTTGATTAAATTTGTAAGTCTCCATGGATAATTTTCATGATTCTTTATCTAAGAGAGGTATAGAAAATAATTTGATAAATCTCAATATATTGTGAAGAGTTTGTTGCTAATGTTCACTTTTAATAAATGACTGGTTTTGTTGTGAATTACATATTTCAGTTCCTGAGCCCATAGGCCTTTGCAAATGTGCATAGTTTTATTAAGTAATCATTAGTTCTATTTGGGTCCAGGCCACGCCAAAGAAGGATGATGAAACAATTTATATTAGCCATAAATTTGAGTTGGCATAATGAATTATGGAAAAATGATTAATATCTATTGGGTTCTTGCTATATGCTTGTTGCTGTGCCAAGTGCTTTACATGCATTATCTCATTTTGTTATTACAATAGTCATCTGAATTAAGATACTATCATTGAACTTTGACCAAGGTTTGATTTTCGGCTTCGATGTTTCAGAAATATTTTATTTGTATATCCTGAGTTGATATAAGGGACTGACTCACATGTAGCAAAGTCATGTGAAGGTGATGCCCAAATCAGAATGCTGTTACTTATTTTTAAGGGAGGAAATAATTGTCTTTTGATATATGAAATTAACTTACTCATTTTGTAAGTCAGTAAAAAAATTTATAGCATTTAAAAGCATACACACACATTTTTAAAAGTTTTTTTTAAAAATCCACACATTAAAAAATGATGTTTTCATTGATTTTTAGAGATTGAGGAAGGGAGAAGGAAGAGAGATAGAAACATTGATGGGAGTGAGACAATGATTGGCTTCCTTCTACATGCCCCCTACTGCGGGTCAAGGCCAAAACCCAGGCATGTGCCCTGATTGGGAATGAAACCAGGGACCTCTTGGTTCATGGGTCGACGATCAACCACTGAGTCACACTGGCTGGACTCTATTTTTTTTAATTGATTTTTTTAGAGAGAGAGTAAGAGAAAAACATAAGTGTGAGAGTGAAAACATCGATTGGTTGCCTCCTGCAAGAACTGACCAGGGACTGAACCTGCAACCTAGTTATGTGCCCTGACCGGGAATCAAACCACAACCTTTTGGCACCCAGGATGTTGCTCCAACCAACTGAGCCACACCGACCAGGGCTACACACACACAATTTTTAAAAACCTTGTTTAAACCATCCTTCAGAATTTGGGAGTG